AGTTAAGATAAAATAAATAAGTTGGATTATACACAAACTTATACTTTCAAATTTAAGTTCCGTAACTGCACGCACATAAATTATATACTGCTATATATTTGTGCGTTTGAAAGTATTTAATCAACATGGTGGAAGAGAAATAATAAATTGGCATTGTCATAAAAGCACATGAAGTATTTGGGTTTGTTATACGATTTACACACGGTAGGTTTACATTCGCTCCGCATATATTAAGTACGTATATGTATAGTTATTTATCACTATCGATCGTTAGCGATATAACAAACGCTGTATGCGCATGTAAATTTGTTGTATATATGTGTGTGTATGTATATATACATATAAGATTGTATATGTGTATATATATAGTGACATATATAAATGCATATTGGGTGCACATGCGTGTTCAGTTTAACGGTAGAGCGTTATTCATTTTACGATATTGGAATTGGATGAAAAAGAAAATGAACAGGTGATTTTTGTAGCATGTTACTCTGCAAGGGACCGGCAAAATGGAGGCATGGTATCGCGCAATGTGTCATGTCTACACATCGTACAAATGTTAACTAGTTCACGATAAAAATATTGCGTTAGATCACAGTTCCGATGGCGTGATGCATATGAGCGAATGAATGGAGAATTAGTACGTTTTTTCCTGGTACGAACTATGTGCGTATATATGCAACAATATTGCAGGTATGGGTATGAGTGTGTAGATAATGAGAGATTTGTCTTTAAATTTACCGTTAAAGTGTAAATTAAGGAAGCTATATACCTCGTTGTGATGGTCGGATTTGTCATCCGGCGAACCTTAATTATAAATAAACAAATAAAAAATTTCATTCTAGTCTCATTTTATTACTTTTCTTTACCCAACAAGTTTTATCTTATTGTTAGAACAGTTTCAGTTCTAAGATTTTTTATTGGTCATTTGAACGATTTATATTATACATTAATATTTCAATGTAGATTTTAGCTCTTGCTATTACAATAAAAAGTGCCGGAGAAATTTTCTTATGAAAAACTATACATAATTGTACACATTTGTATGAGGAAGCGTATTTCATGCGTGAAAGTATTACAAAAACGTTATAATATATCCTTGGTATTGAATAAGACGATCTTTCAATACAGAAAAACAAAATCTCTGAGAAGTTCATTTCATTTGCTTTCTTTTTATGCATAAAATTATTCGTGCTTCTTATATATATAATTTGTAATAGAATTTGTGAAAGTTAGAAGAGAGAATTATCAAAAAATTTTAATTTTCTATTTTTCTATATTTCCTTAAAAATAGAATTTAATTTATAAATGACATTATAGTTAAACGATAATGCTGATAAATCGTTCCAGTTTCTTTTAAACGCGATTACGAGAATTAATTTATAACTTGTGTAATTGATATTTGTTTACTTGTACATAGATAATATTATGTAATGGACATACTTTCATCGATATCAGATGTAAGGAATAAAACTAACAAATAACAAAAAAGAATTATCCTTTGGTCTGTGTTATCATATTCATTAATAATTGCAAAATAAGCTTAATAAAAAATGTTGAATCATTCTACTCGTACGATAAAATTAAACAAGACTGTACGATAGATGTCTTTACATTTGAAATAATGAATATGACTGGATTGAAACGTTTGCGTCATCTGTTAAAAATAGATTATCTAACGGAAATCAGTATACGTAAACAACATATATAATTAAAAATAGTTATAGTTAAAATTATTCCTTTTGACATGTGTGAATATATATATGCATATGTACATACATATTTACATACGCATGTCGTATGTTAGATTTCACGACGTCTGTTTTTAGCTTGAACTTTGTAAATAATTAGAAATAATAATCCTCAAGTGATCAATTATCAAGTTGTAATGATTATGAATGTTTTATTGATTATTTTGAACTATCATCGTTCAAAATTATCACTTATCGATAAAAACCATATATAAACAATTAATAATCAAAAATTTTCCAAAATATGCTGACAAAATTATATACAGTAGAAGTGTTAATTAAAAATCAAAGTGAATTGAATATAAAAAAAGAAAAAGTATTTCGATATAGATAGAAAATTGTTATATAAAACGTGTTAAAAGGGCAAAAAAAATAATGTTGAAAATTTTTAATTTTTTATTGTTGTGAGTTAATAGAGTAGTGTTTTCCATTTTTCATAAATAAAAAGTACTACGAACATTTCTAGAAGTTATTTGTTTATGTATTAATTTAATTTATGTAAGACAGTGAATTAGATTTTTATCAAATAAAAATTACGAAGATTTAGTAGTAATGATTCATTCTAATCATATGTTTGAAATATAATTTTCACATATTAATTACAACGTAATAAACTTTATTATTTGAAGTAAATTTGTGTTATCTTATACAGCAAATTTAATACGTATGCAACATGTGTATAAGTATGTGTATAATGATAAAAAAAACCAATTATTCCATGTCGTTACACGAGAAATAACAAACATTATTGGTCAATTGAATTTATCACGTGATCCTTTAAGCTGTAGTAGATAAAAGATAATAAAGTAGGTCGTGAATCGTGCATTTACGTAAAAGGTGGTTTTATAAGTATCAACGAAATTTTCGTAATTTGGACATCGCACGAGTCATTGATTACGTTATAAAATCTACATTCAACTAGTGTCATAAAAAATCTGTACTATTCTATCAACAAATCGACAAATGACAAAATAATATGGCGGAAACAACGCATTTGTATGTATAGATACAATTTATTGATTGTTGTTATATCTCTGCTACTAACTAGGAATTGATTGTTATTGATTGTTATAAATATATAATTATTATAATAACATCAATGAATTTTTATCCTTTATATACTACGTTTTGTTGTTCATTCTTTGTGCCTCATATTATTCCTCTCCAAATTTTTCTTATTGTATTTTTATATCATGCTATCAATTATACTGCTTGTTGCTTTATAAATCATACTGTGATCATTACTTTTTACTTTGGTAAATATAATAATGTTTATAATATTATACTATTATCTATTTACAATTCTATTTTGTTACACTTTGAGGTTATGTTCAAAATAATTTCCCTTTGCGCATGTGCGAATGGCTGACAATGAGTCATGTGTTCAAATTGTTAAGATAATATTAATATCAATTCTGATATATTAAACAATTTCTGTATTTTTAAAAAATATTACATGTACTATATAGTATTATATATTATATATATAGTTTATATATTATATTATATATATTAATCATTATACATACGTAAATATATAATTTATCATTTAATTGGTTTTAATTTATTAATTTTGGTAAGAAGATATTGAGTATCGATTATTAATATTATTAATATTATTTCAAAATAAAATTTCATTAGATTTTATAGAATTTTTTTCAAATTTGTAAATGTGTTCAATAAAAATTGTAGTCTTGTAAATTTATATAATTAAACAAAGAAATTTTTATTTTCGTTAAAGATTTTTGAAATTAATGTAATTATTATAATTGTACAAAAATTATAAACACGTTATAATAAACTTAAGTAAATTAAGAGTAAATTGTTGGAATTACATTTTTTAATTACATATTTTTTTTCCTAACGGCATATTTTTGTTAACAAAAACAATACTACCTGTAATAGTTTGCAATTTTATTGTTAATATTTTTTTATGAAAAATACTGGACTACTTATTTCTACGTATCATTATTAAAATCTAAATAAAAAATTAAATAAACAAAAACATTCAGTTATTTGATAAATATTGAAATATTAAACATAGTGTATAATTGTAATAATTGTAAATATTGAAGATGTAAATATTATTTTAGGAACGGACTAGAATCATGCTTTCAAAGGGGAGATCATACTTTAAAAGTACCTATGTCCCTTTTTCAAAACAATCGGAAAAGATTAGTCACGCGTATTAAGTCAAATACAAAAGTGCCAACTACAGGTACTTTTATTATTCTCGAGGGAGGAGTTGAAATTCCATTTAACGACACAGATATATGTTGGCCATTCAGACAGGTAAATAAATTGTAATATAATATGTACACATTTTGTATATAATTATTTTAGGAGTCATTTTTTCAATGGTGTTTCGGTGTTGAAGAACCAGGATGTTACGGTGCTCTTGATTTAGCAACAGAAACATCCATCTTGTTTGTGCCACGATTACCGCCAGAATATGCAATTTGGGAAGGAAAATTGCATAGTTTGGAAGATTTTAGAAAACGATATGTAGTAGATGAAACTTATTATACCGATGAAATAGCCAAAGTTCTAAAATCAAAACAAGCGGAACTCCTTCTTATTTTAGTATGTAATTTAATATTTAAATTAAATATTTGAAAGGCCTGTAAATAACTTTTTTTAATCTAGTTCTGCAAAAATATTTACATTTTTTTAATATTTTCAGAGTGGTCAAAATAGTGATAGCGGTTCGCAAGCAAAAGAGGCAACTTTTGATGGTATCAATCAGTGAGTACATATTAATTTTCAATATGTATTATTTATATTATAAATAATTTTTTTTATTTATATTATGTTTTAGGTTCAAAGTTGACAATAAAATTTTATATCCAGAAATATGTGAGTGGTAAGTACTATAAAATTAACGTTATATGATATCGTAAAAATGCATTTATATTATTCTAAAATAGAAACGCAAAATATAAAATATAAAAATTAATTATTATATAAATTGAAATTGGTAAAATTTCGCAAAATTGTTATCGAATTTGTGTAATAATCGATTTGTTATATCGATGTATATATCGTCATAATTATTTTCCACATGTTTGTCATAAATCTTTCATATGAAGTTTAATAATGATTTTGTAACTCTAAAATCGTTAAATTTAAAGTATCATTGCAAGTAGACTCAAGATATAAATACTAGCTATTATATTAATTTTAATATAAAAGAAACAATTTTACTACATTTAGCAAAACATATTTCATGCTGTTTCATTTTATAATTAAAGAAGGTACATTAAATAAAACATGAAGAAATTATCATTAAACATAATCTTATTAGATGCTTGTATGCTCTATGCAGATGATACTAGCTGGTCATATATGGGCAAAATTTCTAATGCGTATGCAACCTTCTATTTTAATCACTAAATTTATTAATCGATGCTATGAATCCAATTCTGAAAAATATGCTGGACAACAAAATCTAACACAAACTAGCATTTTTGTAGAAGAAGGATTAGAAATACAGGAAGTACCTTTAATTGTCAGAAAGATTAAAGATATTGAAACAATATGTAAAAATGTAGATCGAAATAGCATTTCTATTATCAATAATTGTTATAATGCTCCTGATATATCTAAGAAGAATGTTCCACTTGATGCTAAAAATAATACCAATTCCAAAAGTAATACTAATGCGAAGAAGAAATTATTAAATCAAAGAATAGACATTGAAACAGATGAAGGAACTGCAATATTATTCTGTTCGGATCTTGACTGTTTCAAAGATTTGGACATTGATGAGACATTGCAAGGATTGAAACTGTTTAATGCCACCAATAACGTCTATCCTATTCTAGAGAACCAGATCTCGCAAGAAATCAATTGTAGAGTAGCTTTGGAAGGGTTAAAAAAGGTTATAGATTTAGAGAATAGTTGGTTTAAACAGAAGTCTAATAAAATGCAAAAAACTAAGCAATTTGATGTTGACGATACTACTAGAGATATGATAATGAAACAATTGATTAAATTAATTATTAATAGTAATAATGCTGAAATGATAATTCAGGGGCTTATAGCTCTGAAAAAGGATAAAGTCAGTCCGTCTAGAAATATATATAGAGATTTGATGTGTGATGAAGCCTTAAGTCGAGCAACAGATGGAGAATTTTCACCTGCTCAACTAGTAAATTTGATAAAAATTTTATCATCTTATAAAGATTCTAAGTACCGTACATCAATAGATACCTTATGGGTTGGTATTTTGCTTCAAGAACAAGTGATTAATGCATATACATTAGTAGCATTATTTAAAGTATTAAAATTCTTTAATCAGAGCAAAAATATGGTGAAACTTATTTTAGAAAGAAAACTTTCTGATTATTGGTTGAAATTATCAGGTACACAAATTGCAGAAATATTAGATTCTTTTCATGATGATATTTCTGCAATGAAATGTTTAATGAGTGCCAGTAAATGGGCAAGTATAAGCATAAATGCATCTAGTGAAAAAGATCTAATAAATTTTATACGCAGTTTACATATAAAAGATTACATTGATGATAGAATAGAAAGTACTTTACAAAATTATTTGAAATCTAAAGCATTACAAATTGATGATTCAAAATTAATAGCTACAATTATGAATTATTGTAAGGATTTGCAGATTAGAAATGAAAGCATTCTATCAGAGTGTGGAAAATATTTTATGAAACATGCTATGAATTTATCAACTTCTTTGTTGCCTTCTATTTTTACACCATTTGGATTATTATATGTACAACCTCCAAATAGTGCAGAATTTTGGAAAATATTTGACGACGTATTATCAGTAAAATTTCATGATTTGAAGTTGGACGATGCTCTAGATATTCTTCTTTCCTGTACTTACTTGGAAAAATATCCCGTCAAATTTTTTGATAAAATATTTATCTCACAATTATTGCATAAAATTCATTTGAAAAATCATTCTGTGTTTTCTAATCGCATAAAAAATAAATTGAAATTACTAGATGCCACAATGTTTTTAGAGTCCAAAGAATATCAATCTTTATATTTTCCTTTGAGAAGAGTAGAGAAACCTTTATTTTTAGATGTTCGAATTAGAAGGGCAGTGAACATGATATACCAACCATTAGCATCTTTAATAGGGGGAGAACAAAAATTGAGTAAACATGTGATATTGAACAGATTACCACCTATAAATTTTTATATTCTTGATGTTCTTATACATCCGCATATGATATCAACATCAGTATTTCATTTAAATTTGGATCAAGAAAAAAATGTTAATACTGCAGTTTTTATTTATTTACCAGAATATTACTGCAGAAATACGCATCATTTAGTAGGACCTCAAATAATGAAAAAAAGGCAGATTAAGAAATTAGGTTTCAAAGTTATGACATTAGATTATGTAACAATACAAGAACTCTGGAATCAATCTAATAAATTATCGTCTTATTTACTGAAAAGTTTACATTCCACAGAAAATTCTTTATAACACATGAACAATGAAAATGTAAAATAAAAATTTTCTATTTATGATGGAAATTGTAAAAGTAGTAATACATTGTAAAAGGTATAGAATAAAAATTTTTGCAGATAAAAGTTCAATAATTTTTTATAAAATTGATGATAATTATATTATAAAATAAGACACAACTTGTATGAAAATATATGTATTTTTTGTTATAGTCGAGTCATAAAATCTCCACAAGAAATTGAGGTATTAGAATATGTGATTGAAGTAAGTTCAAATGCTCACAAATCTATTATGCAAATGGTGAAGCCAGGATTTGCAGAATTTCAAGCAGAAGCAGCTTTTATGAATTATGTATATTCTATAGGAGGCTGCAGACATGTCTCTTATACCTGTATTTGTGGATCTGGATATAATTCATCTATTTTGCATTATGGACATGCTGGTGCTCCTAATAATAAAGTTATAAATGATGGTGATATGTGGTAAGTTTTGATTGAAATTAATATAATTTTACTTTTTTATTTTATTTACAAAAAATATTTTCTCTTTTTTGTCTATAAGCCTTTTTGACATGGGTGGTAATTACTGTGGATATGCAGCTGACATTACATGCAGTTTTCCAGCCAATGGAAAATTTACAGAAAATCAAAAAATGATCTATAATGCAGTGTTAGCTGCTCGTGATGCTGTGATGAATGCTGCAAAACCAAATGTTCTTTGGACAGATATGCACCTCTTAGCAAACAAGATCATGCTAGCTGCATTAAAAAGTGGTGGTCTATTAGTGGGAGTTGTTGATGAAATGATGGAAGCAGGATTAAATGAAGTTTTTCAGCCTCATGGGCTTGGACACTTTATGGGATTGGATGTTCACGATGTTGGTGGATATCTTTCAGGACATCCTGAACGTTCATCAGTTCCAGGATTAAGAAAATTGAGAACTGGTCGTATTTTGCAAGCTGGTATGGTTTTGACAATTGAGCCAGGTTGCTATTTTATTGATTGTGTAAGTAAAAGAACGAGATTATAAGAAAATGCTGAAAGTATTAAAATTTTCAAAATTTATAAAGTTTTTGTATTAACTGATACATGATAGTTATTAGATGCGGCATTGGAAAATCCAAATCAGTCAAAATTTATCGTTGCCGAAGAATTGAAAAAATTCCGTGGTTGGGGTGGTATTAGGATCGAAGATGATGTTCTTATAACAGAAACTGGTGTAAGAAATTTAACGAATGTGCCACGCACGTAAGTTTCGAGAATGCAAAATAATACATACTTTCCTGATACTTGATTTACATAATTTTTACTTGATGTTTTACGATGTGTGCAAAATTTAATATTGAATATTTAAAATTTATTGTTTGCAAAATTTTGTAGAATTTTAAATATAATTTACAATATGTAATTTAATTACAGCGTAGAAGAAATAGAAAAATGGATGGCCGCTAGAAAAAATTAAACTCGATTATAGAAGAAAAAATCGACGAATATATCGCATAATATATGCGAATATTTAACGAAAAATATCTACAATATGTACAAATTTACATATTCTGTTTTTATGATAAAAAATAATTTTAATATATCACATAATACGACGTCACAAAATATTTTTACATCCTTATAATGCATATAATGCAATATTTAATATCTTTAATGAGCTTAAGTCATTCCTTTATAAATTGTATACAAAGAAAAACAAATAAAATAATATTCTTTATTACATAATACACTTTGTTGATATTCTTATTTTTTTTAAATTTCACTTGGATCTCTTTTTCATTAAATAGAATACATGTATATTGCAAAATATCACTTAATCAAAATCTTTAAGTATTTATAAAATATATTAATTAAAAATTATAATTATAAAAAATATAATTATATATAATTATAAAAAATATCGAAACGCAGATGCATTTCTGTCGTAAAAATTTCAGCTCATAATAACTTTTCGTGAAATAAGAGAGGGGCAGAGGGGGTAATGTTAAGTGCAACCTTGGATGTGATATCTTGCGTTTATTGAAAGGGAACTTGAGCGCTGTTATTATCGGATATGGTGTTACAGTCGTGGTCGCGGTGTGAACGCGTACGGTACTTTCCGTGAAAGTTCTAAAAATTGTTAAAAAAAAGACAGACAAAAAAAAAATACAAGTGTCGTTTTATTTTCTTCTCTCCGATGGTTCTTTATGAAATAGTGCGTATATTTTATGAATTATTTATTATTTATATATAAGTATGTATGTTAATCATGATTGGCTATATGTTCGAATAAAAATAAATTTTCTATCTATAATATTAATAAAATTATAAAATTATAATATTAATAAATACTTTAAATTCAAACGTATAACGAGAAGTGGCGATGAATAAAATTTCTGAAGTGAGGATCTTTTGTTTCTGAGATGTATCTTTTATAAAATATTTTGTTTTTACTCTCACTGAAATTTCTGATGAATTTGTATTGTATGTTTTAAATAATTTAATACTACTCATATTACGAAAGATAAGACGATGATAAATCGATAAACAAAAATACGATAATGATTAAAATCTCTAGTTTTTTGCATTATATTAAAATTCGAAATCGAAAAGAAGTGTTAAATTTATAGGCGATTTCTTTTTCAAGATGAACATTCGTTGTATTTGTCGACGTCAAAAGCGAATGTGGACTGGATATTCATTGATATGACCTGTTTTTTTTTTTTTTTCTCGAAAAAGAAATTAAATTATAACACTGAGTCTAATAAATTATAATAAATAATCAATGAAAAACTAAACTAGTTAAATGTAATTGACACGGGAATGATAATCTAATTATTAATAGTTAGGAGTGCAAGATTATAAAAATTTACTAGTTAGGTATTTATTAATTTATTACGAGTGTTAGAATATAATTGGTTCAATTAATATTTAAGATTTTAATGAAAATTAATGAATTGGATTTTATTAATTTTGCAATAATTTAAACGTTATATTGATTTCACATATTTCTTTTTATCGATTATATAAATAAAGCCTTATTTTATATTGACTACAGTATTCTTACAATCGTAATAACGTAATTCGAAGATTAATCAAATTTGGAAATTAAGTAACGAGAGAAAATGTTATTTGAAAATTTTTGATTTGAGAAATTTCAGCTACACATACACACACGCATGTAGAAGGTAGAATACTGAGAATTCTTATAATAAATTCTTGAATTTAAATAATTATTTTTTATAGTGATATTCAATATTTTAAGTAGTATAGTTTACGTGTGAAGAGTAGAGATACATTATTTAATTACTTGAAAGGAGATAAATGATTATAAAAATGGGAAATTAAAATCAATAAATAGATTATTACCAATGGATTGGAATAAAATTAATTTTATATGTATTTGAAGTTACAATGTCCCGAAGGAATAAGAAAAACTTTAATCTGAAACATGAGCGTAAAAAAATAATTCTAACCAAAGGCTTGACGAAGTAAGTACGTCATTTACTAAGAAAAAATGATAACGTTGTCAGCTATTTATCATTTTCTTCGTCCTTTCTCAAGTTATTATTTTATGCGCGCAAAGATAATTAGAATACTAGACAATAGTTAGAAATTGTGCGAGGCAAAGTCTATTAACATATTGAACTAGAAATCGTCGGATAGAAAAGAGATCACTCTAGATTCTTTGTGACTGCATTTTTTATATTTAATAAAAAAAATTACAACAATATATATATATATATATATATAAATTTAATCTAATTATATTTTCATTTTGGATATTTATATTTTTAACAATAGCATTATTAAATAAACGAGTAAAGTTTTCTGGCACAACAGATACAATTGTAATAATTTAAATAACAAGATTTTTAGTTCAAAAATATACACGTGCTTGATCAAACATCACAGTAAAATAAGATCACACAAAAGAAATGTGATCTTACCACGCTTATAACAATAAAAAAGATATAACTATCATACAAGCTAAGCTAATTTTCTTGCTAAGAGAGTACGTGTTTACTATTCCAACAACTTTTTAATGTAATTATTAACTTTTCAATTCAGCATAATCGTTTCCCGTAGAAACCAACGAGCGTAATAGATATTAAAGAAGGAAAAAAAAAACGAGAAAAATATAACAAAACGATGAATACAAGTTTCTCGGCAGCGAAACCGAGATTTTTTTCACAATTTACTTTAGCCATTAGCAGTTGAATTCTTTTTTTTTTTTTTCCCTTTCTCCTTTATCTTCTACGTCACGTTGCCAAGTTGCCTACTATAAACTGATGATTTCGATTAGCTTGCGATCAAAGTGATAATAATCGATGGGCGTTTACGTCGATTTCCGTTACGTTAGAGGAATGCCGAAGGCTTGACAAACACCAGCCACCTTTGACGCAATGCGAATATACGATAGTCAGCTGTATCATGCGACCGAAACATACATTGTCGGTCAAACTCGTCACATGGTTGCGATGTCAATGATTTGAGACGTCAGACCAGGCATCCATTGCGTGCGTGATCAGTTCCGGATTTATATTTGTGACCGATATATATATATATATATATATATATAT